CCTAGCTTTTAGCATTGGTCATGATGGGAATTCCAAGGAACATAAAGTCCAGTGTGAGTGTGCTTGCGAAATACGGAGGATTGAAAGCATGTGTTTGTTTTTTTTAACATGAACATTTAAAATGACAATTTGTCAGCAACTTCTTTTGTATCTTTTTGAAATGAAAGAAAAACTCCTGAATAACGTTAAGCCTATCGAAGGCTGAAAAAATTTTATCAGCATATCGAAACCCAAAAAAATTGGTTTATAAAGTGAATTTGAGATGACAGTGCCTTCAATTCCTATCATAAATATACTGGAGCTACGGGATTTTCCATACTTAGGCCTTCAATTTGTATATAATTCACATCTTCAGACTGTAAAGTGAAAGATTTAGCGGGAAGGAGAAACAATTTTCTTATAGTGTTGATGTTTAGGCAAAAACGAGGATTAGAATAGTTTTGGTAACGTTGTCAATAAAATAAACAGAAGTTTTACTGTGTACAACTAATAAAAATTTGTGTGAATCTAAAAACATAGTTATTTCTAATATATAAATAGTTATATTTCATAAGTTACATCATTATTTATAATTTTTAGGCCTTTTGTTTTTGCACCGCAATTTCAGAGGGGCAGCTGCTCCCTTGACCTCTGGAGACTACGGCCCTGGTTATGCAAATTAGGTAAAATGCTGAAGCGAAAAACGATAGAAATAGCGGATTTAATGCGAGTTTTATTTATAAAGTGATTAAAATATTTTTGGAGCAGATAATGTAAAAATGTGATATGCAAATAAAATATTACAGAAGTGAAAACTATAAAGTTGACCATAATGATAAGAACTAGAGATTAAAATAGTAGTTTTCATGGCATGTTTACTTATAAAGTGAAACTATGTATGAATATTTTGGGTCGGAAACAACTGTTACAAACCCTTCCAAAAGGTGACAGTTTTTCGGTAAACATGTATTTCTTATATATTCTATTCCACTGCGAGTTTATATCGGCTCTGATTTTCGCGTATCTTGCTGATTTGAAAATTGAAAATCGTTTTGACATAGCCTACTTAACCCTGTAGAAAGCGGGCGCTTGGTCTTAACAAGACCTTTCATTATTAATGCTTAAATGCACGATTAACTAGAATTCTTGAAAGATAAACAAAGTGAAGAAATTGTTGTTTGTTTGAAGTTAAGCCTAAAGCTATACAATGGGCTATCCGTGCTCTACACACCACGGGTATCGAAACCCGATTTCTAGCGTTGTAAGTTCGCAGACATACCACTGGGGGGGAAATTCTGATCAAAGTATAGAAATTGCGTTACCCGTAGCAGTCTTAGGAAACGTGCATTTGGTATTTCATGTTATGAGAAATTGCAAATTTGGAGTTTTATTCATAGCCTGAATAACTTTTAAATAATAATGCTTTACATTTATCCAAAATGAAGATATTTTTTTTATTTGCTTGCTTCAATATCTCATTTAATCATTATATGGATTTGTGAAATTCTCTCTCCTATTTAACAGCAAGAAAAGTAAATAAAATTTTATTGTTAATACTATATTAACTGCTAAGTGAAATGTCCATATTTTTATAAATTATAAACAGTTATTTACATTTTTCATGACTTTAATAACTAATTTGCAAATGTTCTTGGACCAAAATATATATCGTCATACAGGACTTAATTCTAACCATTTCAATTAACTCATTTAATCAACCTAAGCTGTTTATCGCCCAATATTTTTATCTCAAACAGTAACTATACTGTAATTCTGTTAGAAGACTTAATTTTAGCCTAGCATTGATGAACTATCTCAAATCTAATATTGTTCATTAGGAAATCCATCAACTGAAAGCACTTAGCCTAGCATTGATGAACTATCTCAAATCTAATTTTGTTCATTAGGAAATCCATCAACTGAAAGCACAAAAAAATAATTAATTGAAAAATATCACGTGCCACAAGAGGGATTAAAAACCTTCTAACTATGAGATAAACATAATTATGTTATTACTGGTCATGCACATAATTAACCCTTTTAACACTTATAAAATGTCAAAGCAAATATGTATATTAAAATGCCAAGGATGAAGTAAATTTTGAATTTTACAAAAGTAAAACATCCCAAGTAATAGGAATAAATGAGAGATCTAATGCGGTATTTTAATTTGATTAATATCCAGTATGGTCTTTAATGATTACACAAAAAATAATGTTGCTTTCAAAGAGAATTTTCGTACATTTATTAAAATGTTCTTGATACATATGTTTGTTTGTTTTTTGTTGTTTGGCTGCAGATCGCAAGGACGAAGATTAGAACCATGATATTATTTTAAGTACGTTTCTCACTTTAAGGTGTATGGGCGTTATAACTGTGGCCGTCATTACTGCTGTTTAGGCGACGGATACTGCTGACGTCTTCCTTCTTGACAGCTCTAAATGTTTATCTGATTGTGACACATAAGGTGATATTCCTCGTGACTCGGCAGTAAGCTTGGCGGCTTATAACGCTAAATGTGAGTTCGATCCCTGCGGTCAGCACAGCGCAATCAACATTATGTATATATTTGTGTTTATAACAACAACAGAAATAACCAAACAAGGTGAAACTATAAAATATCCATTGCTTTTATTTTAACTATTAATTTGGATTTCATCACGCCTCTAAATTTTAGTGAGATGAGACTTTGATTTTCGAACAATATCTCTGTTAACAAAATCAAGTAATTGGTAGTCTGCAAATATTCAAAATTGTCATTTTCCCTGTCTAATATAGCTTACATTCTATGCTAAAACTCTATTATACAATCTATAGTTGATTATATTAGTAGTCCTGATTAGAAGCCAAACAAATTCATTATCATAGAGTAAAAACTGCACCATATTATTCTCATTAAAATAGCAGACTTTGTTGATGAACATCTTATAGAACTACTTCTTTCCATTGTTAATTTGTAGACCAATTTCATAATAAGGTCAACAAAAAACACACACATCTGTTCCCGTGTAATTAAGACATTTATTGATTAACCAACAGTCCATTCTTATTTAGTTTGGCTTTCTGCATTTCTTGGGTAATTTGTTTTATATATATATTTAACCGTGCTTATAATTCTGTTACTCTTCCATGACGTCAATCACTGTAATCGTGTAATTACACAAAGTATGAACTTAATACTTAGACACTTGAGTGCAATATAATATACAAAACTTGTTTAAGCACTTTATAAACAATATTAAACTACGAGTTAACTGCGTTGATGTAGCCCCCCCCCCCAAGTGGCACAGCGGTACGTCTGCGGACTTACAACGCTAGAAACCGGGTTTCAATACCCGTGGTGGGCAGAGCACAGATAGCCCATTGCGTAGCTTTGTGCTTAATACAAATAAACAAGCGTTGATGTAAAAGACCTAAGTTTGGAAATATGCTACTTTTATAGCCCTGTAGTTTACTTTCAAAATGAATATATAATAAGATCTTACATCCATCGCTAATAAATATTGTGACACAAGGTTGTAAAGTAGCGCGGATACATATATATATATATATAAGTAAGCACCAATTTCTATGATTCATATTTAAAGAGTGAACAAAAGGTAATTAGAAATATGATCAGAATCTTTCTAATACTCAAACAATAAAAAAACGTTCAAATACTTACAAGTTACGAAATATGAAATTGAAGCAAACTTGTTTCCAAAAACAAATCTGTATCGATACTCTAAAATATCTAATGATAGTAAAAAAGAAGATGTAGAATAAAAAAACTAAGAAATAATGTAAAAAATATCTGATAAAACCGTAGTTTTCCGGTAGGTGGATCGGATTTCTTCAAGTAAAAAGACAACAACGCCCTTCTAGTTAGTAATAAGTTGGCAAACAACGATTTATAAGCATAATAAAGCGATTTATTTTTGGGGGGAACATAAAAAATGTTTCGACAGGGCATTAGTCTACTAATGTTCTGTAGAAATATGTGGTATGTTTCCCCCAAAATAAATCGCTTTATTATGCTTATAAATCGTTGTTTGCCAACTTATTATTATATTAGCATAATGTGCTTCCATACTCAAGTACGCTTTTAGTTATTGTTTTCTTGGTTGTTGGTAATAGTACTTACAAATTTAGTTGTTAGGTAAAGAATTTGTTTACACTGTTGTCAATGTCACATTTTTTCCTGTATATTTGTGTTACTTTATATTTAGTACGTCAAGTATTAAGTTATGGTTATGTTTATCTATGTATGTACAGAAAATAATTGTTAGGTTTAGTCCACGAAAAACCTATATACTTTAAAGTATTCTTACCATTATCTTGACGATCACAGAATCCATCACGATCATGTCTTGAAATATAGACCTAAAACATACAAAAATACTGTTTGCAAATGTTAAATGTATTTACAGTATTTATTTTAAGCAACAGTATTAATAATTAATATAAATTAAAGTAAGCTCCAATTCGAAACAAACACAAATTATATGATTCTCTTCAAACCTCCAATGACACTATAAAATAAACACTTATAGATTTTAAATTGAATATAACATTTATTTTATCCTTACATTATATATATATATATATATAAAAAAGAGGAAGTTTGTTTATTTGTTTATTTTGTTCACTATAGGAAACCAAACAGTTGAACTTACAAATTTTAAAATAACTTCATAATAAACAGTTTTTTTTTAAATTTAATGGTGCTATTTATTTTGTATTTGGTGTTGTATTTAATTGTAGCTTTGCGCGAAATCCATAACAAACAAACACGAACTCAGCACAAATAACCCGTTGTTTTATGTCTGACAACAAACAAGCAATCGACAAGAGGAATCAGATTTTTTTAAAATTAAAAACCAGTTTTTCTTCAAATGAAAAAAATGCAAATAGAGTTGTGTTTTGAATTGTTTTTACCTCCGTGGCAGTCTTCTTGCTGACGTAAAACCTGTTAGAATTGTAGTGTCTAACAAAATAGCTACTCATCAGATACATATATTTGTGCAATAAAGAAATACTTGTCTATGTAAGTTGAAAATGCGCTTACCTGTACTGGAGTACAGTACTGAAAATTGATATGAAACGGCAAAGAAAAAAATATAAAAGGCAGTTACTACGGAAATATGACCATTTCATCGTGTGAAAACTAATTGAACCAGATTATAGTCATGTGTTGATAGTTTAAGGTTTTGGTCCACTTCATATTCAACGATCGAAGTCCTTGTTCTTTTCCTTACATTTTCACAATTGATGATGTAGTCGTAGCGCACTCATCTTTCGGTTAAGATAACAGCTGGTTTTCTTAGATTAAAGGCAGGAGGTTCTAAGATTGTATGATGAAATTTTTTCTGGGTATGGAGAATGACATTGAAAAAATTGGAGATACGCATAACATATAATTCTCTTTAATAGTGGTTAGTAATACTTTGGGGGCTTGTCATAGTCAGATGGTTAGAGCACTCGACTCGCAATATGCGGGTCGCGGGTTCGAATCTCACACTAAACATGTTCGCCCCTTTCAGCCGTGGGGGTGTTATAATATGACGGTCAATCCACTATTCGTTGGGAAAAGAGTAGCCCAAGAGTTGGCGGTGGGTGGTGTTGACTAGCTGCCTTCCCTCTAGTCTATCACTGCTACATTAGGGACGACTAGCAGATAGCCCTCGTGTAGCTTTGCGCGAAATTCGAAACTGACGATAATACTGTTGGTGTTGTAGGTTTTAGCGTTACAGTATTCTTTCATTCAACTTCAGAGCCCTATAGTGGTTGATCCAATATATCACTGATTGCACCTTGGGCACTTAAACCCATATACCATTACCACTAGTTTCTCTCTAAAATTGAAGAACTCTTTTTAACCTGGAGCCTGTTTCAAAGACATATAGTGGGTATAGATGATTGGCAATTTTCTTTTTAATCATGTATAAAATAGTGTCGGAATGACTAAAGTACCAGTTTTCTTCGAATATGTAACACAACAACAGATATGGTTCTTCAGTTTTGGTGTGGATTATTATATTTAATAACGAGAGTAGAAAACAATTTATCTAAACGTTTCTGTAATGTTTCCAGCTTCTGCTTCAAAAAGGCTTCAACTTCCTGCCATCTTAAAGTTTCTGTATAACAGGGGTTTCTTTAAAAACTCAACGAGTGAAAGTTTCGAAATGAGAATAAAATCCTGTGAAAGTGGGTTTGTGATATACTTTAGAAGTAAATATACCCTGGTTATATAAGGCATGAACATCTAAGCAAGACCATAAGCAAGTTTACTGTTGAAAATCAACAGAATGATAAACTGGCGATCTTAGACTGTACATTAATAAGTTTTATAGCAGCAAGAAAACAAAGTGTAATACTGTGTGTAAAGCAAAGGGTCCTCATACAAAATTGTTATTCGATTTTTTTCTTTTATTTTTATGTGATAATGTTTTTTACAGTTAATAAATACAACATATAGTCATCACTACTCGTTGCATTAATAAAGTGGAATATATAGTTATTGTATTACAGCACTCGCTGCCGATAATATGCCCCCCTGTGACTCAGCGGTAAGTCTTTGGACTTAAAATGCTAAAAATCGAGTTTCAGTACCCCTGGAGGACACAGCACAGACAGCCAGTTGTATAGATTTTTGCTTAACTGCAACTAAAAAACAAACAATAATAATATTTTTCTAAGGTTTACTGTTAAAGCAGAGTATTCTACTTTAAAATACCTGTTTATATGCATGACTTAAGTTCTTGATACATAAATTTATAAGTCAAGATTTTGTGAGGCATCTAATACTTAAAATAGCGAAATATATTGCGAAGGTTTTATGATATGTATAGGAAATTGTGCAAAAAAAAAATAAAAAAAATACTAAATTCCAAAATTGATGAGCGGATGGAAAACCAGACAAAAACAAAACACGATCGTAACATAAATATTCTTATTAAGAAACGTTTGGGTGGTGCGTTGAGTGACTCTGTTGTTGTTTGTTGTTTATTATTAAGCACAAAGCTACACATAGGGCTATCTGTGCTCTGCCCACCACTGGTATCGAAACCCGGTCTCTAGCGGTATAAGTCCGCAAACATACCGCTGTGTCACTGGGGGGCTGAGTGACTCTAAAAAGCACATTATTAATCTTTCAGGCTACTGACTCTCTGAAGCAGAATAATTTGTACTTGGACATGGTCTAGAGTTTTGTGTACCTACTAACAATATCCAGAGAGAGAAAATTTTCCACAATTTGAAGTCTTATATGCTTTGGCACATGCTTACTGTGGCACACCAATCGACCTTACCGACTTCTATATGCATAAAGAACATTTTCAGGCTATAAAATCTCTACGCTCGAACAAAAGTATTCTTGTTACAAAACCTGACAAAGGTTCTGGTACCGTCATTTTGAATAAAAATGACTACATGTGACATCTTAAACGATGAAACAAAAGTCAAAAGGCTAGGCACTGTTTCGCAAAATGATAACACGACAAAAATTGAAAACAAGTTACAAAAATGCTTAGTAGAACTGGTTAAGAAAGGTTCCTTACCACGTGATATTTATGACCGGATTAGGCCCGCAGGCTCACTACGTCCCCGCCTTCCTAGAACGCACAAAAAAGATGTACCACTCCGCCCGATTTTGTCTATGATTGGCTCTGCACAACATGAATTAGCGAAGTGGCTTTCGGAAATGTTAGAACAGATGTTAACGTACTTTTCAGAAAACTATTATTCAAGACTCATTTTCTTTTGCTACAACCATACAGAACCTTAGCCTTGACCCTAAACAATCGTTTTTGTGCTCCTTCGACATCAGCAGCCTGTTTACTAATGTACCCCTGGAAGAAACAATCAAAATTTGCGCAGATACTTTGTATGGTTGAGAAGGTCAGTGCCCTCCAATACCTAAGGACCTGTTTATTGAACTGATGAATACTGCGACATGTTCGGTGTAATTCAGCTTTAATGATATCATGTATCAACAGATTGACGGAGTCGCCATGGGTTTTCCTGTTGGACCTGCCTTAGCCAATATTTTCGTTGGTTTCCATATAAAAGAACTATTCAACAAAGTTACCAGACCTGCTATTTACTTCCGCTATGTAGACGACACATTTGCCATTTTTAAAACTGAACAGGAATGTGGGTGTTTCTTACAAGACTTAAACTCGTTGTACTCGGCTCGCAAATGTACTTTCGAAAAGGAACAACATAACTCTTTACAGTTCCTAGACGTCTCAGTTGAAAAAGATGACTTTCGTTTTCTCACCAGTATATACAGAAAACCTACATTTACAGGACAATACACACGATGGGATTCTTTCAGTCCCAAAAGTCTCAAAACGAACCTTATTGCTACTTTAGTCCATCGGGCTCTAGTTATCTGTTCAAAATCTAAACTAGATTTCGAATTGAAGACAATTAAAATTATTTTACTAAAAAATGGGTATTCAGAAAACGTTATTAATCAAATTACTTCAAGGAAAATTGCGAGCCTCTTAACTGCCCCAAACATTTGGTCCTAACAAGTGTCCTGTTTACCTAAAACTACCATGG